CTGGAATCCCTGAAATCAGTGAACGTGGATGATAGCTTCTTGCCTCTAGTAGGGTGTTGACAGCAGTAGGTTTTCTATATGTCTTTGTAAGGAGTCTTCCATTCTCAAGTCTAATCTCCAGATCCAGAAAAGAAATACATCTTTCATCAAATATATACGTGAGTCCAATGTTGAAGGAGTTCTGATTTAACTCTCCCAAAAATAGTTTTAATTCCTCAGATGTTCCTCGCCACACAAGGAACACATCATCTATATATCTTAACCAGATCTGGACATTAGCAAGAAATCTTGGTGATCTGAAGACAACCTGCTCCTCCCAAAACCCCAAGTGGAGACATGCGTAGGCCGGAGCCCACGGTGCTCCCATACTGGTACCTCTAGTTTGTTGATAAAAGGTATTGTTAAATTGAAAAAAGTTATGTTTTAATGCAAACTCCAATAACTCACTAATAAATTTGTTCTGTCCTCCCAAAGTAGGATATGTTTTTTCAAGAAAATAGGAGACTGATCTCACACCACATTCATGTGGGATAGAGGTGTAAAGTGATTCCACATCTATTCCCACCAGAATGGAGTTATCATTAATGATCATGTTTTCAATCTTAGCCAACACATCTTTAGTATCCCTTACATAGGAGGGGAGATTAGGAACCATATCTTTAAGGAACAAATCTATATATTTCCCTGTTTTATCTAGGGGACCATTAATGGCTGAAACAATAGGTCTATCTGGAGGATTTTCTTGATTTTTATGTATTTTAGGGATAATGTAAAAAGTAGGGTGATTAAATTCTTCAGTTCTCAGATAGTCATATTCTTTTTTAGTTAACAAACCCACTTCTTTTCCTAGTATTAAGATGGAATTTAGTTTTTTTACCACCATATGGAAAGGATTCGCAGTCACTTTCCTATATGTGGATGAATCACTTAATAAGCGCTTCACCTCCCTGACATAGTTTTGTTCATTCAAAATCACTACATTACCCCCTTTATCACTTCTCTTGATAACAATATCTTTGGTCTCTTTTAGTTCTTTAAGAGCTTTTCTTTCTTTTTTGGTAAGATTATCACCAATTGGCATTTTCCACTCAAGATTTTTAAGGTCATCAGCAACAAAATCTAGAAATGTCGAGATCCTCATATTGGAACGAATTTTCGGCATTTTTGTCGATCTAATATTCAGATCAACCTTCCTAATTATATTGTTGGAATTGTCCAGGTCTATTACACTCTCATCACCATCCTCATTTTCCTCTATGAGAGATATCAACATATCTAGCATCTTGCGGTCCTCAATGGACGGGTCAGAGGCCATATCCTCCAAAATAGTGGGATTACCATGTATCATTCTCAAGAAAACTTTTCTTAGAAATAAATTAACATCTTTAAATACCTCGAACTCGTCCATGGGGGGTCACTGGTGAGAAGGACATACCTTTGTTCAATAACGAAATATGTTCCCTTCTGAGTGGAAAATTAGCCAAATTGATTACCTTATTGTCATGGGTATTCTCTTCTACTACCTCCTTTGACTTCTTGTTCTGCCCTTGTCCTCCTGATGTTTGTTTTTTTTAAGGATTCCTCTACTTTCTTTTTGGATCCTCTTCCCATCTGTGATTGATGGATATGAGGAGGTTCTCCATTTTGTTGGTCTAAAAAAGAGACAGATTTTCCAAGATTTTCAGAATCACTTTCACTAGACATAGTTTCTCCCATTGATCTAGAATGTGAACGAAATACTCTTCGTTTAGATCGACTTCTACTTCTTTTCGTAGTGAGATCAAATATCTCACCTGTTTCCCAGTCTTTTAGATCACGTCTAAATTTAGTTTGTTTAGTAATTCTCAGATTTTTTTTGTACTTTTTCAACTTCCTTTTTCAGTTGTTCATTATATTTTCCAAAATTCTCCTGATTTTTAAAGGGATCTAAATCTAATGCACTTTTACTAATAGCCTGATCCAATTCTTCAAGTTGTAATTTTTCCTCCTCAACAATGAGTTTCATACCATTAATCCCATGTTCTATACACAGCACTTTCCATTTCTCCAAAAACCTTTCATTATGTAAATGTTCAGCTGGAACTACCTTACTTCTCAAACCACGTGGGGATAATACTCTGTCTAATATAAGCTTCCAAGAAGCATACATCCCATTTCCGATTAAGACGTTTAATAACTAGCTTTTTATGTTCCCTGAACTTGATCTTAATATTTTCATCTTCAGTGGATAGATTTGGGCCTTCTGCTACAAAGGCTTGATGCATTTCCAACTCTACCTCCTCTCCTGGTATAAATGCCATGAATACAAACCTCTCCACTCAATGTGCTCCAACCGTTCTAAAAAATAAAACACTCATAAACTGGGGTGATGGCAAACCAAATTACCAAAGTCAAATAAACCTCTATAAGAACAGGTCCATAAGAACCCAAAAGACGCATGTATTAAAGGTAGTTATTAAGAGGTTGTCAAATGAAAGTTATCATGTCACCCAATATTTGGTCTCCATTCAGTAGCCAAAAGAGGCATTCAAAAAAAGGGGATTTGTGAAAAGAAATTCACAGAAAAAGCGGCTACATTATGAACAGAATGTGACACTCAGAAAAATTTCAAAAATTATGCTTTATTACACATATATAAATATGACATATGGGCATTCGCCCTGGTTTACCATCACCTCAGTATGAGACAATACACACAGACCTAAAAACCATATAAAATGACACCACGACCGGTCTAAATGCATGTGCAACAGAAAAAATGACTACAAGAGTCTAATGTCCCTGTAGCACAGACACATAGGTGAACACTTCCCAAAAGAGGTGTATCCAAAAATTATACCATAGGCATACCATAATATTGAATATTAAAAAAGAAACAATACCATTATGGTGAATCCCAATCAGGGAATCCAAAAATTGTACTATGGGATATAAATATCACATGTATGCAATGCAGCAAGCACAATATGCGTCAAAAAGAGAACAGCAAGCCTCAGGCCTGTATGGAGGGAGACATGAATGTCAAATATGATGCAATACATCCTGTGCCGGGCACAAGTGGTTGGGGCCCATTCATCTGTAATATAAACAGCTGTATCCTAAAGCTCTTGAATGAACATATGCCCCATTTATTCCCAGGGTGGAAGAAAAGATGCAAAAAGCAGCACTCTGCTTGAAATGGTATCTTCACCACTATATGTGGACTACACTCCACCTTTCGTAGGAGAAAAACAGGACACATCCCAAAAGATCTTCTGCCTGTTGAAATGTATGTGGTATATCCTGTATCCTATACAAAGCACCATGATGTCCCCCCATCCTGTAGTGAGACAAATAATATGTGGGAAGTCACTGACAGAGTTTACACTCAGTAAGATATATAGGTCATATAGATCACAGAGGACCATATATCTAATGTCCTGTAACAGTCCACTCACCACCTGTGCTGTGGGTATTAAGGAATGAAAGGAGATGTCCTTCATGGGTTATACTGCCATATACGGCCACAGAGGCCAAGGAAACCACCGCTGACATCCGCCGATATACCGCGGGTTCCAGCCCCTTCTTGGCGCTTGTGCTGCTCACACTTGCCTCATGGCATGTGAAGATGGCTTCCTCCTTATGGGTCAGCGTGCGTTCCACCTAATGCGCATGACCGGAAGTGACGTATCTGACGTATGACGTCAACTTACGCGTTTCGCCGATGGGCGTATCTCACTCAGCTTCGTCAGGACCAATGAAACAACTGCATTTCAATTTCCTATTTATAGTGGGTAGAGACCCACCCATTTATGCAAAAAAGCTAACCTGCAATTGTTCCTAATGGAAGAAAAAAAGGGGGCTAAATACTTAGCACAGCTGCTGGTCTTTGTTGAATATAATTAAAAAGACAGACGGCTGGAGACACCAGAGAAGGGAGAGGCTTAGCAATTTTAACAATGCATTATATTGATCAAAAGATCATGAATTAAATATACCAATCAATTAAAACTTTTATCACATTTTAACCAGAAGATGGCGATATAAATCAGAAGAATCAACAATTCTATTTCATCTTGAATCAGGTTTTTTAGGAGACAATATATATAATTACCAATAAAAAAAAAGATTAAAATAAAAAAAATATTAATAAATATAATAATACACCACAAGATGGCAATATAACCTGAGAGTTCTCATCAGGGTCATTACATACAAAAATAACCCCAATTCTCAGGCATCCATCCTATGGTGTGGGTTATTATTCAAAGAGAGGAGGTACTAAGGGACAATTAACCAGACAATCAATCCTTTTACATTTTTTTAATATACCATAAGATCATCCATACTTTTGTTAATATTCCCGAAATATACATAAGGTTTATTTAGGGTTATTTAAATCTAAAGTTAAGATCAACCCTTTATAAAGACAAAAAAATGCCGTAAATTGCCCACCGCATGGCGAAAACAGGGTATATAGTCCTATAAACCTATTTTTCCAAAAACACTTGGGAGATCACATTCCACATTTAACCCCTTGAGGTACAGTGTATCAAGTTTATATATCCAATGTTTCTCCTTTTTAAGCAATTCTCTGTCAAAAACACCTCTCCTATTGTGGGAAAGTGCAGTGCATAGAAACCTTTTACTTTTGTACCGTCTAGTTTACCTCCATGATATTTAGGTTAATGTTGGGGCAAAGATTACTGTCAGGGGTTTTGATCTAAAGGATCTCTAAGATGTCAACCTAATCGTACTTTGAGTTGTCTTTTAGTCTTACCACATACAATCTTTTTACAGGGACAAAGAGGTTAAAGATAACCGTATTTTTCGCACCATAAGAACGCACTTTTTTCCCCCCCAAAAAAGGGGGGAAAATGTCAGTGCGTCTTATGGAGCGAATTAAAAGCGGCCGGTCCGGTAATTTATTGGTCGCCACCATGTCAGAATACCGGGCCGGCCGCTCAGCTGTTATCTCTCCTGCAGGGCCCTTACCTAGTTCCTGCAAAAATCCAGCGCAGCACAGTCTTATGGCTTTGTCTGTACACTATACCGGGTGCCCACTGCGCATGTGCTGGACGCTTTGTGAATGATCCGGTGTCTTCTGGGACCACTTGAAAGGTCACCAGAAGGCGCCGGGCCATTCACAAAGCGAAGCGCTTCTTGCAATACTGTAGCGCAGTGGGCACCCGCTGTCACAGAAGCCGGCCCACGGCAACTCCGCGGAAGTGGGAGCGGGTACCTGTCAAATTCAGGTACCCGCTCCCCCTCCCTCCCCAAAGGTCAGCAGTCTCTGGTCATCCCCTTCACTGTCTGCAGGGTCTCTGGTCATTACCCTGCAAAACATCTCTGGGTCATCCCCTGTACTGTCCGCAGTCTCTGGTCATTCCCTGTACTGTCCGCAGTCTCTGGTCATTCCCTGCACTGTCCGCAGTCTCTGGTCATTCCCTGCACTGTCCGCAGTCCTCTGGTCATTCCCTGCACTGTCCGCAGTCTCTGGTTCATCCCCTGCACTGTCCGCAGTCTCTGGTCATTCCCTGCACTGTCCGCAGTCCTCCGGCGCAGTCCTCTTGTCATCTCCTGCACTGTGTCCGCAGTCTCTGGTCATCTCCTGCACTGTGTCCGCAGTCCTGGTCATCTCCTGTACTGTGTCCGCAGTCCTGGTCATCTCCTGTACTGTGTCCGCAGTCTCTGGTCCATCTCCTGTACTGATGTCCGCAGTTCTCTGGTCATCTCCTGTACTGTTTCTGCAGTCTCTGGTCATCTCCTGTACAAATGTCCGCAGTCTCTTGGTCACCCCTGTACTTTGTCCGCAGTCCTCTGGTCATATACTCCTGTACTTTGTCTGCAGTCTCTGGTCATCTCCTGTACTGTCCGCAGTCTCTGGTCATCCCCCCCTGTACTATGTCTGCAGTCCTCTTGTATTCTTTGTACTGTGTCCCGCAGTCTCTGGTCATCCCCTGTACTATGTCTGCAGTACCATTGGTTCAGAATATTTTTTTTTCTTGTTTTTCACTCTCTAAAACCTAGGTGCGTCTTATGGTCAGGTGCGTCTTATGGAGCGAAAAATACGGTATATAATACTCTCACTGTGGAGCAGTTTATGAGACTCTGAATCTTATAGTGAGTGTTATTTCCTGAGTCATAAAAGGAATCCGTACGATCCACATATTTGCAGATTTGACATTTTCCACATTTTAAACATCCCCTTGGTACGTGATTTTTTAACCATGTTGTTTGTTTTAAATGGTTGATAATCTGAATGGATAAGGAGGTCACCAAGATTCGGTGCTCTTCTTGCTACCATCTGGGGGCGCTCACCTACAATCTTACTCAACCTAGGGCATTGAGTTAGAATCTTCCAATGTTTTTCTAATATCAATTTTACATCTTGCCATTGGGCTCCAAAATTGGGTTATCATTCTAACAGGTTGATCACTCGGTTTAGCCTTTACATCCTTTTTAGGAGATAATAAGTCCTCACGGTCAGTTTGATATGCCCGTCTCCGAGCACTTCTAATTTGGGAGTGAGAATATATCCCCTTTCTCTAAATCTTCTATAGAGGTCCTGAGCCTCCATTCTAAAGTCATTGATGTTTGAGCAATTTCTCCGACATCTCAAAAACTGTCCCACTGGAATCCCTGAAATCAGTGAACGTGGATGATAGCTTCTTGCCTCTAGTAGGGTGTTGACAGCAGTAGGTTTTCTATATGTCTTTGTAAGGAGTCTTCCATTCTCAAGTCTAATCTCCAGATCCAGAAAAGAAATACATCTTTCATCAAATATATACGTGAGTCCAATGTTGAAGGAGTTCTGATTTAACTCTCCCAAAAATAGTTTTAATTCCTCAGATGTTCCTCGCCACACAAGGAACACATCATCTATATATCTTAACCAGATCTGGACATTAGCAAGAAATCTTGGTGATCTGAAGACAACCTGCTCCTCCCAAAACCCCAAGTGGAGACATGCGTAGGCCGGAGCCCACGGTGCTCCCATACTGGTACCTCTAGTTTGTTGATAAAAGGTATTGTTAAATTGAAAAAAAGTTATGTTTTAATGCAAACTCCAATAACTCACTAATAAATTTGTTCTGTCCTCCCAAAGTAGGATATGTTTTTTCAAGAAAATAGGAGACTGATCTCACACCACATTCATGTGGGATAGAGGTGTAAAGTGATTCCACATCTATTCCCACCAGAATGGAGTTATCATTAATGATCATGTTTTCAATCTTAGCCAACACATCTTTAGTATCCCTTACATAGGAGGGGAGATTAGGAACCATATCTTTAAGGAACAAATCTATATATTTCCCTGTTTTATCTAGGGGACCATTAATGGCTGAAACAATAGGTCTACCTGGAGGATTTTCTTGATTTTTGTATTTTTTTAGGGATAATGTAAAAAGTAGGGTGATTAAATTCTTCAGTTCTCAGATAGTCATATTCTTTTTTAGTTAACAAACCCACTTCTTTTCCTAGTATTAAGATGGAATTTTAGTTTTTTTTTACCACCATATGGAAAGGATTCGCAGTCACTTTCCTATATGTGGATGAATCACTTAATAAGCGCTTCACCTCCCTGACATAGTTTTGTTCATTCAAAATCACTACATTACCCCCTTTATCACTTCTCTTGATAACAATATCTTTGGTCTCTTTTAGTTCTTTAAGAGCTTTTCTTTCTTTTTTGGTAAGATTATCACCAATTGGCATTTTCCACTCAAGATTTTTAAGGTCATCAGCAACAAAATCTAGAAATGTCGAGATCCTCATATTGGAACGAATTTTCGGCATTTTTGTCGATCTAATATTCAGATCAACCTTCCTAATTATATTGTTGGAATTGTCCAGGTCTATTACACTCTCATCACCATCCTCATTTTCCTCTATGAGAGATATCAACATATCTAGCATCTTGCGGTCCTCAATGGACGGGTCAGAGGCCATATCCTCCAAAATAGTGGGATTACCATGTATCATTCTCAAGAAAACTTTTCTTAGAAATAAATTAACATCTTTAAATACCTCGAACTCGTCCATGGGGGTCACTGGTGAGAAGGACATACCTTTGTTCAATAACAAAATATGTTCCCTTCTGAGTGGAAAATTAGCCAAATTGATTACCTTATTGTCATGGGTATATTCAACAAAGACCAGCAGCTGTGCTAAGTATTTAGCCCCCTTTTTTTCTTCCATTAGGAACAATTGCAGGTTAGCTTTTTTGCATAAATGGGTGGGTCTCTACCCACTATAAAAGGAAATTGAAATGCAGTTGTTTCATTGGTCCTGACGAAGCTGAGTGAGATACGCCCATCGGCGAAACGCGTTGACGTCATACGTCAGATACGTCACTTCCGGTCATGCGCATTAGGTGGAACGCACGCTGACCCATAAGGAGGAAGCCATCTTCACATGCCATGAGGCAAGTGTGAGCAGCACAAGCGCCAAGAAGGGGCTGGAACCCGCGGTATATCGGCGGATGTCAGCGGTGGTTCCTTGGCCTCTGTGGCCGTATATGGCAGTACCCATGAAGGACATCTCTTTCATTCCTAATACCCACAGCACAGGTGGTGAGTGGACTGTTACAGGACATTAGATATATGGTCCTCTGTGATCTATATGACCTATATATCTTACTGAGTGTAAACTCTGTCAGTGACTTCCCACATATTATTTGTCTCACTACAGGATGGGGACATCATGGTGCTTTGTATAGGATACAGGATATACCACATACATTTCAACAGGCAGAAGATCTTTTGGGATGTGTCCTGTTTTTCCTACGAAAGGTGGTGTAGTCCACATATAGTGGTGAAGATACCATTTCAAGCAGAGTGCTGCTTTTTGCATCTTTTCTTCCACCCTGGGAATAAATGGGGCATATGTTCATTCAAGAGCTTTAGGATACAGCTGTTTATATTACAGATGAATGGGCCCCAACCACTTGTGCCGGCACAGGAATGTATTGCATCATATATTTGACATTCATGTCTCCCTCCATACAGGCCTGAGGCTTGCTGTTCTCTTTTTGACGCATATTGTGCTTGCTGCATTGCATACATGTGATATTTATATCCATAGTACAATTTTTGGATTCCCTGATTGGGATTCACCATAATGGTATTGTTCTATTTTTAATATTCAATATTATGGTATGCCTATGGTATAATTTTTGGATACACCTCTTTTGGGAAGTGTTCACCTATGTGTCTGTGCTACAGGGACATTAGACTCTTGTAGTCATTTTTTCTGTTGCACATGCATTTAGACCGGTCGTGGTGTCATTTTATATGGTTTTAGGTCTGTGTGTATTGTCTCATACTGAGGTGATGGTAAACCAGGGCGAATGCCCATATGTCATATTTATATATGTGTAATAAAGCATAATTTTTGGAAATTTTTCTGAGTGTCACATTCTGTTCATAATGTAGCCGCTTTTTCTGTGAATTTCTTTTCACAAATCCCCTTTTTTTGAACTAGACAAGGTTGCCCACTTTCTCCCATACTATTTATCTTGGCTTTGGAACCTTTGGCAGAAGCCATTCGTATGCATCCTGATATTAAGGAAATAGATGTAGCTGGTTCCCAACATAAGTTATCTATGTTCGCTGACGATATATTGTTGTCAGTTACGAACCCGGGGGTTACTTTGCCAAACTTACTTGCGGTTATGGATCCCTTTACAGTTCTCTCAGGCCTCCATGTTAACCCTGCCAAGTCCAAAGCTATGTCAATTACCCTCTCACCATCACTTTTGGAGACTCTGAAACATTTGTTCCCTTTTCAATGGCTTTCTGCCTTGCCGTATTTAGGAATCAAGCTTACTCCGACTTATGAAGGACTAAATTTCCCCACTGTTTTTAATGACTTGACGGAGTTATTGTCCTCCTGGTCTCACTATCCACTTTCGTGGTTCGGTAGAATCAATGCGGTCCGCATGACTTATCTTCCCAAATTATTGTACGTGTTTCGAGTTTTACCAGTCCCTGTTCCCTCACATATATTGCGTATTCATCAGCGAAAACTCCTGTCTTTCATTTGGAGCTCCTCTAGACCCAGAATCAGCAAACAATTAGTGTTTGCTTTTAGGACCGAGGGTGGGTTATCTGTCCCAAACCTTCAGTCTTACTATCTGGTAGCCAATATTTCCCCACTAGCCCATCTCCATGCATCTCACCATTTTTCCCTTGTGGGATACTGTAGACTTGATGGACTCCCACCCGATTCCACTCTCTTCTCTACCATGGCTTCCTTCTACTCATCGACCCACATCCCTTAGTCCGACGCTGACGCTAACACTCCATCTTTGGGACTCTATTAATTATTCAGCTGGCCTCATTTCTGCCCATTTACCATTATTACGGTTGCTACACAACCTATTATTTCCCCCAGGTCGTGACAATCCTGGACAGTTTGCTTGGTGGCAAGCAAATGGCTTCCATGATATACATTTCATGCTCTTTCCCACTTGGATACTCGCCTTTAAGACTCTGCGCTCTTCTTACAATATCCCATTGTGGGAACATTTTGGATACCTTCAACTACGCCACTTTATCAGTACATTAATACAGACACATTCAGGACCCTAAAGGTTGACCCCCTTTGAAAGTCAATGTATACATAGACCCCATGCTCCGGGCTTAATTTCTCTAGTCTACTCTTCCATTATTTCTCATAGAACTCCTCCAGTTC